CCCAGCCACTACTTTTAAAACTATAGACACATAATTGAAAGCTATTATGAGTTATTTCTCTCTCTTGAAAAGGTATGTCTTTGACTTAGAAATACTATACCTGGAAATCGCTCATAGAGAAATAATGGAAAATGGAGACAAGAGTTAGAGTGCAAAATGTTCAACATAACATTATTTGTAATGAAAGCTTTAGCAATAATTTAAATGCCCAGCTTACAAAAAATATTAAATAAATGATGGTATGCTCACAAAGAATATAATTCTTAAAAATCACATTTTCAGAAATTAATGAAAATTCTTACAATGTGATAAGGAAAAAGACAAAACTATACAATATGATGCCAATTTATTTTTTAAATGTGTATTTGTACAGGTGTAAATATAGAAAAAAAGACTAAAAGTAAATGCTCTAAATAATTATTTACTGGCAATCTGTTGATATTGGACTTTTAGGTGTTTTTCTATCACTATTTCCTATTATTTTTTGTTTTTCAAATAATTATATATTACTTTTACAATGAGGAAAAAACTCACAAAAATGGGGAGTAAGAGGGCACCATACAAGTGAAGTGACTGACAGCATATAAAATCCAATCTAAATGCTCTAAATCTGTATTTCACCATTGCTAGAGAAAGTAAATTGGAAATAATTCTAGAAAAAAGATGATCTTGTTACAAAATGGTAGCTAGACAGGCCCCCTGGAGTGACACAGCATTTGAAAATGATTGGCTGAAATGGCCTAAGTAGGCCAACCATACTGTACCGTAGTCAAGTTCAAATCCTATCCTGTTTGACAGTGTAACTGCATCCACAGCAGCCAAAGATAATGTGCTTTGCTCATAAAGGACATATCCCCAGTGTTATTGTTAACTTCATTGTTTCTGCAAAAGGAAGTTCCAGGAACAATAATTAAATGTTGACCCACCAGATTTGACGCCAGTCCCCAGCTGGGCCCCATGCCAGCTTCATGCTTCTCCCTCCTTGCCCAGTTGATTTCTCTTCGGTCTTCATTAATTTCTTCTCTGGGCACCAGCGGACTCTGGAGGAGGAGGAAATAGCTTGATCTCAGCACCCAGCAGCTCCACTGGCTTACAGTCACAGCTTCTCTTTTCATGAGGTTTTCTGTTTCCTATTCAGATTCTCCATTGATTACCCATCATTTGGACCCAGTTCCTTCTTTTGAGTGACATTAGACTCTGACCCTTCAATCTTCTGACAACCTCTGTGCTGCAATTCTTCCATCATCTCCAGCTCTTCCAACACCCATCCCCATGCCTCATCCGCCTCCTGTCTCACTGTCACACCACATGGCTCCTGCCAAGAAATACCTTGAGGCTTGCCTCTCACCTCTTCTGGCCCATCCATGACTTCTAGTGACACTGGTGCTATTGGTCAGCCCTTCTTACTTCACCCTTGTAGCAGAAACAAAGCCCTTGCCACTTGACTGCTATCATGAATGCCCAGTGCACCCCCCAGGTCTCAGCCACGTCAGTTCCACTTTTGCTTGGGAACACTACTGGCAAAGTTATGAAGCCTTGTTGATGGAGCCCAAGATCCAAGCAAGCTTTCCAATGTCTCCCTGGCCCTCCATCATGGGGCCAGTGAACGCTCTCATTCATCTCTTGCTGACTCCCCGTTGTCATTCCTTATACTTCTGCTCCAAATATTTCCCACCTACAAATTCTTAGCTCTTAGAGGTGAGCTAGACTGGACTTTTGCACATAGATCGAGGTCCCACCTAAGAGCTGTTTTATGATCTTTGTTCACAAGAATGTAAAGACTACATTCATGTTCCCTCCAGACCCAGGGTAGCACATTCCCCAGCCTTTCTCAAAGCTGTCTCCTCTGCTTGCCCTCCTTGGGGATCTTCCTCTGCCAATAACCCTCCAATGCCTTCTTTCCTGGTAGCTTTACCTGTTCCTTCTTCAATGGCTCTCTTCTCTGCCTTAAACATATTTGCCGTCCGATGAAAACTTCTAGGGAGTTTTTGATAACAATTGAATTTTTCTCCTTTTCACTGTCAAACCCATCCAGTGACAGTCTTCATTTCTGATTCCGTCTCCTCACTGCCCATCATGCTAACCTCTCCTTCTCTAGTTTCAACCCATGTCTCTGCTAAAGATGACTTCAAGTTCACTAGCTGCCTCTCAACTACCAGATGGCTGAGCCCAGGGCCCTCTTCTCAGCTTCCATTTTCCAGAAGCCTCCAGCTTCAGGTTCCAATAATCCTGCCCTCCTTTTTAATTTTTATTTATTTTTGAGATGGAGTCTCGCTGTGTCACCCAGGCTGGAGTGCAGTGGTGTGATCTTGGCTCATTGCAACCTCTGCCTCCTGGGTTCAAGCAATTCTCTTGCCTCAGCCTCCTGAATAGCTGGGACTACAGGCATGCACCACCATGCCTGGCTAATTCTTATAGTTTTAGTAGAGACGGGGTCTCTATGTTGGCCAGGCTGGTCTTGAACTCCTGGGCTCAAGTGATCTGCCTACCTCAGCCTCCCAAAGGGCTTGGATTACAGGCATGAGCCACCGCGCCCAGCCCAGCCTGTCCTTCTTTTTTTTTTTTTTTTTTTTTTTTTGAGACAGAGTATCGCTCTTGTTACCCAGGCTGGAGTGCAATGGCGCGATCTCGGCTCACCGCAACCTCCGCCTCCTGGGTTCAGGCAATTCTCCTGCCTCA